ACCATTGACAAACCACAACCTGCCCGTTCGACGCAAACTCTTGACATCACCCACAACAAACTACAACACCCGCCTTCCGCGCTCTCTGAATGGTCGGTCGAAATTCGACCGATTGTAATCGCTAACACAAGGACCAGACCCAGACGTTACATGAAGGGAAATTATGATTGAGTGGAGTGTACGGATGGCTAAGGCCAGGCTAATGGCCTCCAGGACATGTCTCATACATGACATGTTTATCAGGTGCAATGTCAACCAATATGAATATATCAACAGAATCAGAATTATGTTTTTTATTGCCATTGTTAGTAATAGGGAGTCACAAACTTGGAATTTGCCTTGGTCCTGAAAAGGTAAAAAAATAATTATGAAAAGGCTTAAAAATTCTTCATAAATGTTATTATATAAATACCCACAATGGACCTTTAACATTAAACATTTTCAATAAGTTAAAGTGACAGCAAGGTTATTTTTTCTATTCACTGCCAATTTTTGTTTTACTTTCTCCTTCATATTTGTTGTGTTCAGGGCTGGACTGGCCATCGGGCGTACCGGGCAATGCCTGAAGGGCCGATGCCCATATTTGGGCCGGTCTGTCTGCCACATACAAAACACATGTTTGTGAAAAGTGTAAATCCGTTGAGAAATTTTTGAGGGGAGCGCGCGTGTCCGCGGGGCACCTGCTGTATGTACTGGAACGGGATTCCACCACCTCAGCGGCCGCAGTGTTCCCGCATCCAGCGGCTCTGAGCTGGACGCAGGAACCGCTCACCGGGAACCGCTCACAACACAACACGGTGAGCGCGTAGCCGCAACGTGACCATACCCAAGACCATAAACGCGCACAGGACCATGCATGCGTGTCTTTGCGTAATTTGTGCACCCAATAAATACACCGTTGCAGAAAACAGTCCGCGTCTCCCCTCTCCTCTAATTTAAAGCTCGGATACCTAAATTTTCCATTGCATTAAAAGGTCATGTTTGAGCCCAAAAGTAAAATGTTGTGAACAGATTAAACGGATTTAGAGCCAGCTAATGACTGACAATATGCATTTCAGAATTTTTTACCAATTCTCATCCCTGTAACAAACATTATTGTCTGTGCCCACCTCCCTCACTCTGAGACATGTTTATTACTCTGTTTAATGTAGACTATTGTACTTTATTTTATTGTTGAAACTGGAGAGATCCTGATCCTCTACAGTATATTCTTCCACATACTGTATAAACCAGGGGTCGGCAACCTTTAGTGTCCCTAAAGTGCCAGGTGGCGTGTGCATTACAGACTGTGTGTGCGCATGGATCCCAAAGATAAAGAGAGAGAGTCAATAAGACTGGACTAAGAATGAGAATGAACATTTGCTTTCAGTCAATGAGGAAGGACTGCTTCATGTTTGCGATGTAATGAAAAGTTTTATTGCAACACGAGGAACAATGAAGCTTTAACCACTGTTCACTGAAAGATTCATTCATCATAAAGTCAGAGCACCTATTTTCAGACTTCAAATACCTTCGCAAAGACGGTGAAAGAAAAGGCCATTAAGGACATTCAGCTCCAGCAAACTTCAGCCTGTGATGGATATGAACAGACAGTGATGCAGGTGAACTCGGAGCCAAAAAACAGATTTATTTACTGTATTTGTACAATTGGATGAAGGCAAAAAAATGGAAGTTAAACTTAAAGCAGAGTTGCCACGTGGTGCGTCATTCTCTCCAGGACACGCTGCAATGAAAATACACATTTGATAATCATGAATGGTTTTTATGTGTTTAGCCTTTACTTTGTCATTTAGATATTAGTCTAATATAGCTAATGTAGCTAATGTAGCTAATACAGCTTCAGCCCCTCTTACCTTCATATAAGCCTTATACAATGCTGTTATTTTATTTTTTTGTCAAATAGGGCTCCTTGAACCTTTTGAGTTGCCTGGGCCGCCAAAAAGGAAAAAATGCCCGGGCCGTTTTTTTGTCCCAGTCCAGCCCTGGTTGTGTTGTATAAACGGTGGGAAAAAGTTGCTGTCTTGTGCTAAAGAACAAGTGTCAGATAAATGTAAGTGTGTTTTAAATATGTACTTTTTTTTTTTGTTCTGCAAAATTGCAATAAAAAGAAAAAGTGTTACCCCAGCTTCAAAAAGACCAAAAGAGAGACCTATTTTAACTCTCTGACCTTTACCAAAGTTGCGAATGAATAAGCTTGGTTAATGAACAATAAAAAGAAATGGAACTTTCAGCCAACAGCAGTGTCCTAGAGTAATTTCCTTTTACTTCAGTATTGGACCTTGTATTGATACAGCTTTTTTCTAATGCGGATATGGTAAATGTTGTGTTGAATATGATGGAGGCTGGTGCTGTGTGGACTGGGTGCAGCTCTGACAGCCCCCTCGCCCCCCCGCCCGACCCAGAAATACATGGACTCATTGACTACCAGCCGTTTTTGAAGATTTCACTGATTCTCAAGACCCACAGAATATTATTTCCTAAGCCTATGTGAAATATGAAACCAGATTCTGAAAGACTGGATTTTCTACTTTGATCAGCAAAAATAATTTTGTTTCTAGCTATTTGTATTGTCCAGTAATCCCCAGTTTAAGAGAGGGACTCAGACAAATACGTCATTGGCAGTCAATGAGTTAATGCCCATTTTAGCAGACTTATAACCTGAAACCTAAACATCATTCTAATTTTTCTGCGTTTGGAATAAATATGAAGGTGGTTGACATGAATGAGCTGTCTTCTTTCATGGTTTAGAGCTTTGGGTTCCTGGAGAGGTCCACAGAGCTCTCCATTGAGGCAGAGGTCAAAAGGCTGCGATGGATTGGTGCCATGATGTGCATTGATCTGGTGGTCAATAGTCCAATCACATGTAAATACATGTTCACGAGGCTGAACTCACTCAATTAGACCACGTTTTTATTTTTGAGCTCTTGAGAATATGCCAAAACAGTTGTATCCCTGGCCCGGTTTCCACCATCCCTTCTTGGCCCTACTCGATTTATTGCCGTTGAAATCCGTTAAAATTGTCAACACAGAATAGAGAGTCAAACACAGGATATGAGTTGAATGTCAAGTGTCCTGGATCATCGCCACTGTTCTTATGAGTGGTGATGATCGGCAAGGAAAAACTCTAAAACCCAGTGGGAAAAGGTGAAAAACCAGGATCAGCTTCCACGGACAGACATGCTTTAGACCAGGACTCAGGCTGCAGAACGAGGACCAATGACCCCAAGTGCAGAACTCTACTCAACTCTACTCGCCTGGCCCTGGATCTATCCATAGACTGTTTATAGATTCACAATGCTAACCCGCTTGCTCAATGAAGCCCAAAAGGGAAGTGCTCTTGATCAAAGTTTTGCTCCCTCTGGCTTCTGTTGTCTAACATTGAAAAGCAAACTCTTCTAGCACGGTAACCGTTTCTGTCACACTCAGTATTTGGGCTTTAACAATCCATGGTTAAACCAGTCTGCCTCCGTTATGGTGTGAAGCTAAGATATTCCTCCAAAAGAAAATCACACTTTAGTGACATCAGCACTCGGTTAGTCCACTCCTATACGCTCTGTGGTTTTATCCAGGCCGAGTTGGTACTAAAGTGTTTGTGAGATTGGCCAGAGTGCTTCTGGAAGCCATGATTACCAAGGAATTTCCCCGGATACTGGTTTGTTGTGTCTACATTCTTCCAACTCCAACTTGTTACACTGTATGAATCTTAGACACTGACCGTTTCTAGTGCTGTAAATATTCATTGTAATAATAAGTAATATACATAATTGATTATTCAAACCATATTGTGTTACAAATAACTTGTCGATGCATTTAAGTCGGTTATGATATTATTTTAAGACATAGCAGTAAAAAATGCAGTCAAAGTGTTGATTCAGATTCAGACTACTTTATGTATCCCACCAGGGCTAATTTGTTTGAGTAGCACAGGGCATAAAAAACAAAATAACACAGAAAATGTCAAACTGTAACATTGATATTGTATGACTAGAAATATACTCTTTAGACGAGACGAACATGTAATAACTAGTGATAAAACCAAGCTTTGATACCACGGGACAATATTTTTTTTTTTTTGTTACATTTTCAGCTTTAAGAAATTATTTAACATTCTACATTATTCATAACTTGTGGGAATGCCCTTTGGTATCTCCAGTGTGGACCAATGTATTTAATGATATGCAGAAAGCTGTATATCTTGTACGTTTGCTCATGTGACTGGCAACTCTGTTTTATCTCCTAATAAACCACTGTTGAACAAGAATGCTTTAGTGGTAGTAGTAAGTACTGCACTGCTAACATGAGCCGTCTCATTTTGAGAATTGGAAAGACCCGCATAGCCCAACTCTAAAACTCTAAAAAAAAAAAAAAAATTTGCATAAGTTTCTATACTTACCTGTCTACAAATTGACATCAGTCGCATTAAGACAGTAGATATTGCACTTGTTTGTTCTCTGTTCTATTTTTTATAAATTCAAAAACTGAATAAAAATGAATAATTTTTACAGAAAAAGAGAGAGACCAGAGAGAGACTAGAGAGAAAGACCAGAGGGAGAGATCATAGAGAGACTAGAGAGAGAAATCAGAGAGAGAGACCAGAGAGGGACTAGAGAGAGATCAGAGAGAGACTAGAGAGAGAAATCGGAGAGAGATTAGAGAGAGACTAGAGAGAGAAATCAGAGAGAGAGACCAGAGAGAGAGAGAGAGACCAGAGAAAGACCAGAGAGAGACCAGAGAAAGACTAGAGAGAGACTAGAGAGAGAGAGAGAGAGACCAGAGAGAGACCAGAGAGAGACTAGAGAGAGAGACCAGAGAGGAAGAGACACCAGAGAGGGACCAGATCACATGAAAAGTCTCAAATAAACCCAAACAAAGCTTTGTTCTGTAAACAGACATATGGCTCGTGCGTATTAGCCAAACTGTAATCCCTAATTCCACTCGGTCCGACACGAAACAGAAGCCTCTGCGCTCCCAACCCTACGACTGAATCTACAGCCGCACAAATGTTTGCCTTACCCCCACCGCGACGCCGAGGATTAGATGGCGTCCCGCGGCCGGCCGGCACGTCAGCCACCGCCGCGGTAGCCACACCTGCGCGCACGAGCAAAGACAGAGAGAGAGCCGAGAGTCCCGGGGCACCGCCAAACACCAGCGTGCGGCAGCAAACACGCGGCGAGCAGGTGTTCCATCATCCATTACGGACGGACGGGCTGTGATTGTGTGGAGGTGAGGCGGCGTTCGCTGCTGTGAATCAGAGCCGGCGAGCTAATTACACAGGTTTATTTACACAGGCGAGCAGTAACCCGGGCGTTTATCGCAACAAGACAAGTCTACTATGGGAGTGTTGCCTCAGTCCTCATTATACAGCCTGAGTCCTGGATCTACAGCCTCAGGCCTGGATCTAACCCTAACCCTAACCCTCTCTCAATATGGGCGTTGTTGAGTCATTCTTTGCTGATGTTTGAGGGTCTAAGGACAGTGATGATCCAGGATAAAACTTTTGGTAAAAATGACCTGCCACAAATGATTGAAAGTACAAGAAAGAGTCTAAATGACCAATACAAATCATCAGATATTTTGTTTAATTGCTGTGGTGGATAGCACAAGGGTAAGGCCAATTATGGACATTTATTAAGATAAGATCATCCTTTAATGTCATTGTTGTGCACATTACAGCAGAATAAAGGGAGGAAATAAGAACACTCAGATCAAACATGATCTATCATTTAATATAATAGATAAAAACATAAAACTCTGGAGCTATTATTACATTTGGTTCAAGGATTAATAATTATAGACAGTGGTCCATCCCCTTCATGGACGGCTGTACAAAAATAAATTGTTATTCATTAAATGTAACAACTAATGTAAAAGTCTTATTTTGCTAAATCACAATACCCCCATGTTAGAACATTGTTGTTGTTTTAAAGTAGACAGATGTCACTATGTTTTTAAGCTTCAAACCGAGCAGACCTGAAGTTGTTTTTACATGAATCCACGCTAATATTATCAAGTACATGTTAATCTGCATGTTAATCTGCCCCTTCTGTCTAAGGCCGTCCAAACTTTTTAGTTAGAGAGCCACTTTAGTTTAGTAATTGCCAATGAAGTTAATAATGTACTGGGCTTAGCTGAAGTTGGATGGATGACCGTTTATGTAGATGGATGAGGTAAACTTTTATTTATGATCTCAAAGACTACTTTGGGTGAACATGGTAGAGGGCCACATACAACTACACTGAGGGCCGCAATTGGCCCCCGGGCCTGAGTTTGGACATGCCTGGTCTAAAATCTTCTGTCTCAGTCCATTGTACTGCCTTTTTTTAAAGTAAAAAAAAAGATAATATATAAAAAAAAAACATGTGCTATTTATCCTGAACCCGTTTTAAAACCAGATTTATCATTTTGACAAGGGAAAATGCTTCAAAAGATTTTGCTAGTCCCTTCAGCAAATCTGGTTTTTAGGGTAAACAAAATGTACTCAAAGATTTGGCTACTTCTTATTTTTTATCAATGCCATGCCTGTTTCAACATATGAGCTACTTTTATTTTACCACTAGTGAAGAACAGCTACATAGAAAAAAAAATGCGTACTACTTGCAGATCAAGGTTTGACCACATCAGCATTTTTCACCAAAAATCACAAACTTCAAACGAGGATGTCTCGGTCAAGTTTGCCGAGCCGGTCCTCCCCTCCTCCAGTTGTGGTTTACTAATCAATAGGTGCAAAAGGTCAAGAGCGCTTGGTCTAACGTGAAGACAAAAAGGTGATAAGGCCATGTTTATCTGAGCCGGTTCTGAGAGCGTGAGGGTCCGAGAACGGGGAACCCATTTTTATTCCTCAATCCTTCTCAACAGCAACGCTCAGAAGCAGACATATTGTGAAAAATCAACATTCGACTGTTTTTGTGTCTCTTCTCATTTGCTTAAAGTTCTATTGAGAGCAAAGCTATTGCACTTATTTTTAATCATGAGGGCCGACTTATCAAGGGGGCATATGCTCTGAGCCCAGTTAATTTCACGCCGCCTTTTTAAGAGTTGCACAAACTGAAATTCAAGCCCAAAAAACCACGAGAAATTATTAAATATAAGGTTATAAATGCATTGTTTCTTCTCAATTGTCTCCTATTATAAGTTCTATGGAATGTTAACAATGGTACGAAATTTCTTATAAAGTGTTATTGCAAGTTATTCATTCTCATTAACTTAGATTTAACTAATGTTTTTGTTTTAAGGAGAAGACGCTGTTTTATAAGAAAAAAACGTGTCATCCGTGAGAGAATACATTGGGGGTACAATTGTGAGCACTGCATATTTTTCCGGTGATTTTGCTGTTTGTATTGTGATATTGTCTTTATAAATGCAGTTATAAGGATTGACCAATCAGATCGCGAGAGAAACTCGAGCTTGCCATTCATTCGTTTGTGTAGCACAAGGCAATTTAAAGTGCATCACCAGAGGAATTTTAAAAAACACAGAAATGCATAAAAAAAACAAAATGCAGTAAAATATAAAATAATTCCATATTAAAAGAGTAGCATAAAAGCATTAGGCCTAAAACTCTAATTATCCTAGCAACACATCTGCCCATGTTACGCCACGAAGCTACCGCCACGTAACAAATACCCATATAAGGATATATGGTCTATAGAATGTACCATAGAAAAGCCTTAAAACTTAACACAAATTAAAATCCTAACCCTAACCCAATATTGATATTTGGAGACAACCATATTTGTTTTTCCTTATAAACTGCTAAAAATGTTCTAAAAACTCTATGGTTCGGTCGGCATATTATACAATGTTTTTGAGATTTTAACCAAACGGACCTGTAGTTGTTTTTAGATTCATTCATGATACTATCAGGACACAAACACGTGCAGTAACTTCTGTGTAAAAGCTCCTGTCTCAGTTGAAATCCTTGTACAATAATAACCCTTGGAAAGCCTTTTAAGCGGCAAGATTGAAACCATAATTGTTTTCCCTTACCGATGCACTGCTAATAACGCTCCACAAACACAGATGGTCACCCAGGCGCCCGTCCTGCTTCTCTCTTCCCGCCCGCAGATGCAGGTCCCTGGGTAAAACTTGCCGTGTCTCTGTCTATGGAACCACCGCGGCAACACTTCCTTATTTATCTGGCATCCCTAGCAACTAGTATCGGCTGCCATGACCTCCGGTGGGCGCGCATTCATTTCGCTTCGCCGTTTTACACACCGACGATTAATAAAAAGTGACTAGGTTTTCAGCCGACGAGCGTGCGCTGATAAATGAGGGCCCCCGCCTAATTGCTTGGTAAATTAAGAGCTCGACAATAGCGGCGCTGATGTGCTCCGTGTTTTTAATATTTAAAAAGTCATTAAAGTGTGCGGTTTGTTGGGCAGCCGTCCGCGCGAGACCACTGAGAAGGCCGTGCGAAATGTCACGACGGGCGCCAGGTTGGGAGGTGGGTTGTGCGAGCGCCGTAAAGCTGCTTTTTGAGGTCATGGCAACCTCCGCACTGTAGTTTGTTAGATGGTAATGACTGGAGTGGAGAGAATGTTCAGTGTTCAAAGAGGAATATGCAGGGACGAGAAAAAACACAGCAATTATATCTTTCAAGAGTGAATAAAAAAAGGTCACTAATTCTCAGCTTCCAAGATGAGGAACCCAAATTCGGATGGGAAACTCCAAGAAATTATTCAGAGAGATTTACCTTTTGCATACTTTTTTTAAACTATATTTTAAATCAGTAGCACTTGAAATGTAAGGTGCATTATGAATCAAAATGTGTTACTACTTGGGCAGCTCGATGGCTGAGTGGATAGCACTCTCGATTCTCAGCAAGAAGGTCCTGGGTTCGAATCCCGGTCGGAACAGGGACTTTCTGAGTGGAGTTTGCATGTTCTCTCTGTGTCTGTGTAGGTTTCCTCCAGGTGCTACGGTTTCCCCTACCACTAAAAACATGCACAATAGGTCTGAATGTAAATGAGAGAGTGAATGGATGGTGTTGGTTGGAGCTGATGGTCCAGTGTGTTCGGCGACTCGGTTCCGTCATCATCGTGTGTGGAATGATTAGAACAATATCTGAACTCTGAACATTGTAAAGCGCTTTGGGTGTTTGGCTACATTACATTACTAAACAGTACTCAATGATCTAGCTAAACTCTCACAGTTTCTTTTCAGTCCAACAAGCCAACCCAGTAACAATAGCAATAAAACGCATTTGTATCTAAAAAAAGACATGAAAATATTGACTTAAATTTGGTGGAGCTGAAGTTACCTGAATGATGATCGATTATGTTTTGTGTGTATGTTGATATCGGCTGGATGAAACTGTGAACAGACTCCTGGACAGAGGCCGTAGATCTAGGAATTAGGCTGAAGAACCAAGACGGAGGCTGTAGATCCAGGACTGAGGCTGTAGACCCAGGACTGAGGCTGTAGATCCAGTACTGAGGCTGTAGATCCAGTACTGAGGCTGTAGACCCAGGACTGAGGCTGTAGACCCAGGACTGAGGCTGTAGACCCAGGACTGAGGCTGTAGACCCAGGACTGAGGCTGTAGATCCAGTACTGAGGCTGTAGATCCAGTACTGAGGCTGTAGACCCAGGACTGAGGCTGTAGACCCAGGACTGAGGCTGTAGACCCAGGACTGAGGTTGTAGATCCAGGACTGAGGCTGTCGACCCAGGACTGAGGCTGTAGACCTATAGGACTGAGGCTGTAGATCCAGGACTGAGGCTGTAGATCCAGGACTGAGGCTGAAGAACCGGGCCTGGAGTCGCACACACAAATATCCAAACCTTTCATAACGTCAGTCACTTCAAAGCATCTTAAAGCTATAGCACTATGTAACTTAGCTCACCAATTTTTTCACCAATTTGTGAAACAGTATCTTTCAAACAAATGCTACCAAATTATCTTTGCAGACACACACGCTAAACAAAAACCCTACAATAATAGCACAAAAAAACTCCCACATATTTTTAACCAAAAGCTACATTTCTTTGCTATGGATTCCACACCTGCCAATTGCCCACAATCCAATCCACGTATAAACAGACCCTTTTGCTAAACGTATTTGCTCGCGTGTCGCCCAAACAAAAATCCTTGTCAAATTACTTTCCTAACACAATCCACCAAACAAAGTCGCCCGTAACCGCATCTTCCGTGTCACACTCGGAGATGAGCAAATATTGAAAGAATTTATTTCTCTCTCCACACATGAACGGGAAAGTAATCCACCAAATATATTTAACCGCGGCCAGGATTTGTCGTCGCCTAATTTGCATGACAAGACGCTACCTTTGCCGGCAATTGCGCAGTTGATATCATCTTTATTATTATTGAGCCATAATGTGGGACTACACGCAAGGGGAAATTGAGCAAGTTAAGCCCGAAGAAGGAGCTAGACACTGGGATCTCACGCTGATGGATTGCAGACGGTAATTTCTCTTTATTATTATTGGCCAAGATCAATATTTTAACAGTTCGGTTACGGCCCTCGGTACAGTGCTTAATATGTATTATTCATGTGGGGATGGGGGTGGGGGTAAGGTGGGGGAGAGGAGGGTGGGTGACATTTTTCATCCCGACACAGGAAGAGGAAGTGTGTAATGGACGTAAATGGAAACGAGGCGAGCGGGAAGAGACGTGCAATCGTGGATACACCTGTTTGGAGACCCTAATAGATATGAAGAACAGGGTAAGGTGGAAGGATATTTATTTGGAATTAGAAAACAAACAAGAAGCCGAAAGAAAAGGACGTAGAGTTGGGGATGTGTGATGTCTGGAATCTGTTTTAGAGCGTATTTGACTTCAACTGGAATGTGTTTACGTCTAGTTTACACACTTCCTATATACATTTTTCTCTGATTTTCACTTTAGGGCTATAGTGGCTCAGCTGGTAGAGCATTGGCCTTAGAGCCTGAAGGTTGTGGGCTCGAGCCTACCACAAGACCTACTTCACGACTCTCAATGATGTCTGATGTCGTTGTAACCCCATTTTGCCTGAAGCCCCTGCTGAATAATCAAGGCTCCTGTGGACTCACCACCTGCAGGAGGATCAGTGAGGGGCTGGTGCTGTGCACTGGGTGCAGCTCTGACTGCCACCCCCCGACCCAGAAATGGATTAAGGGGAAGAGACTTTAGTTCCGATTGTTTATTTGAGCTCAGAACAATATAGACAGTTGATTATGGACTGAGGCTGTAGATCCAGGACTGAGGCTGTAGTACATAACTGAGGCTCCCGATCCAGGACTGAAAAGGCGCCCAGGCAAGGAAGGCGATGCAGCCCTCAAGTTTGGACAGGGGAGACCGGTTCTCAGGTGCGGGTCAAAAAGCCCGGGTTCCGAGGTCCCACATCACGCCATGAAACAGTCAACCCGCAACTATGACACATGCGGGAAGTGGATATTATGTTAAAGAACAGGGGTGTCTAACTGGTTTCAGAAATGGCTAGTGTGGCTGCAGGTTTTCACTCCAGCCAAGCAGGAGCACGCTGCACTCCACAGAGACCGGAGAGAGGGACTAGAGAAGGACCATGGAGAGAGAACAGAAGAGACCAGATACACACCACACACATGCTTGGTTGGAATAAAAAACTGCAGCTACTCCAGCCCTTTGAGGATCAGTTCAACAGCCTTGTTTTAAAATATTTTGTTTTTGCATTTATTGTCTTTCATTTGTTCTTGGATCAAGTTGGATTTTTCATTATTCGATCTTCACACGACATAACAGTACTTTCTCCCATTTGTGCCAAAACGCCAACATGACCTTGCTGAATCATCCTTGCGTCACATCCATAGACTGTAAATGGATGGATAATTCTCGCTCATTGAAGCCCAATAGGGAAGTGCACATGGACCACGTTTTTCTCTTAGTAGCTCTGGTTCCTATTGAAAATAAAGTCAGTAACTGTTTATGTCACATTCACCATTTTGGGCTTAAAATCCATGGTTTAGAAAGTTCCCTTAATAATACAAAAGTGTAAACAAGCTCGTCTTGCTTAATTACTGTACCTGACATCTTTTGACCGCAGACTTCCGGCTTCATCCGAGGTGGCGCGTGATTGTGTGACGTCTTATTGAGACAAATTATTATTACTTACTAAAACAAAGGCAATGATTTTTGGTTATGCTAAAGAAAAATGCAGATTTTAAAATTAATATTGATGGAGTTGAAAGTGAAAATGTTGCTGAAAATAAATTCTTAGGTGTAATCATGGATAACAAATTGTCATGGAAAGCCCAAATAAGTCATGTGAAGACAAAAATATCTAAAACCGTCTCAATCATGAATAAAGCGAAACATTATCTCGATTTTCATGCACTACACACATTATATTGTTCGTTGGTATTACCCTACCTAACATACTGTGTTGAGGTGTGGGGTAACAACTACACTGTAAAAAATTTCTGTTAAATTACAATGAAATTTAGACATTAAACACATGTTATTTTGAAAAACAATTCAAATGTAAGTATAAATTGGTTAAAAAACATCCAGTGGCGTTTTTTTACCACACTTATAATGTGATTACAAAAAAACTTTACAATACCATAAAATCATCATGAGTTTATGGTATTATTAGCGTAATTTAACATAAACTTGTTGTATTTTTGGAATGCTGGGAAATGTTTGATAGCGAGCAACCATGAGTGTAAAAGGTGCCTCTTACATGTAAACTCCTGCTTTTGTTGCAGTGATACATTTGCATTAAGCATGTTTTAGAAGTAAAGATTTCAACTATTTTCTTGTATAAACTGAAGATGTTAAAAAATAATTGAAAAGTTGTGTTCATTAAAGGAAAATAAAATTAAACTGCGTAGTTTTTTGTTCAATGAAACTAATTAGAAACAGAAACAGTCGTATGGTGAAATAATACAAAATGAACATTATAAAGCTGGTTTTGTTGTATGTGAATGAACAGGAACATATATGTTAAATCCTGAAATCACAAAGGCAAAATGTGATTCAGTGAAACAGTCTTTAATCGTTAAAATTAGCAACGGTGATGCCATGTTGAGAAAACGGTACATTCCTGGAACCATATTTGCAGCTATTTACCGCTTTTCTAGAAGGAAATTCTTTACAGTGTACTAATGTACACTGAGCAGAAACGAGCTTTGCGGATCATTCATAAAACAAACTACATGCATCACACTCACAAACTTTTTCTTAAATCTAAAATACTAAAATTCCCAGACCTTGTAAAATTCTACACAGCCATCATGCTATTCAAAGCATTTCACAAAATTTCACCTTTTAACATACAAAATATTTTGTGCTTAAAGAAAATAACTATAATCTAAGAGGTGCAGTATTGGAGTTTTAAAACTTAAACTGTAAGTGGTGTGAAACTGTGGAATGCTTTGGATCCTCAATTAATGCAATGCCAAGATATTCACAGATTTAAGTCATTATTTAAAAACTATGTCTGGTCCGAATACAGAGATTATGACTTGAATGTATTTCTATGCAACTCTTTTTCGAGCATCCACAAGTGTTATGTTTGTATGATTTACTCACTTTGTTATATTTTGTAAATTTACCTACTGTACATTGCTTGTGATTAATTTGTACTAATTATTTCTATGTCCACTTACTTGCTCGAAATAAATACAATTAAAAAAACTTTCAAGTAGGTTTGGATTTAATCACAACTGTGCCAATACATGGAAAGAAAGATGTAATTAAAGATTCATAGTTAAATTTTTATTTTTGGCCCAACTTCTAATTCGATGGTAGTAAACATCTTAGAACAGTGTAATATGCCATATTATTATATGACTTGGACCGTACGCGCACTCTGGTTGTTTGATTACCGGTCTGATATTTTCCCATCTCGGACCGTTACCATGACAATTGGTCCGATCGAGTATCACATTTGATATCTTTCCACGAACCGTTACCATGACAATCGGTCCACAGGCCGTATCACACAAAATCAAGTCGGACATGAACATACTTCACAAATATCTCAAAGCATTGGTAAAGACACAGACGAGAGTCATATAATAAAACATTTATTAACCTCACTTGCTTGGTTAAAAATCCGTTATTATCCCATTACCATCAATGCTGCAAGTTACTGTAGGACTAATAATTGGAAATCATTTCAGGGGCCACTAAAAATTTTTTTTTCCCATAGGCCTGAGCTTTACATGTCTGTTAGATCAGAGGAATACATTTCAACAGCTCAAGATTTGACCTTTTCAAATTGAACCTATTGCAACAACAACATAAAAACAGCAAACATACGTCGAGCCCGAGGAGCAGTGTAAATTTCCCACAAAGCCCCCGTGTTTGTGCGTTTTAGAATTGGCATCGGCGTCGTCTCGGTAACCGCGCACACGCACATATCTGCATGAAACCGATTTCCGACACACGTTTCACGGAACACACCTCATACGGCGCGGCCCGCTAATCCGCTAATCCCCCTCACGCGTGTCATTTTGCGAGGGTTGCCTGGGTGATACCTGTAAGCCTGACGCCCCGCCATTGTTCGCTCGGCATGTAGGTCAGCGCTTCTCAAGATGTGGGGAGAGGGCTGCAGAGGGTGTTACATGGCTTGAATGTCAGTCTCGTGGTCCCACTTTGGAAGAAGTCTATTTTTGGCCTGAGTACAGTACTTGTTGTCTAGTCTGTTATGGAGGTTATAGATAAGAGTAATTAATGTTGGCTTGTGCACTCGGAGAGCACATACCCCGCCAACACCGTGGTTCATCTCAACATTTTGTGATCTTCCTACTGCTATGTCCCATCTATGATAATGATAATAATAATAGTAATAATCATGCATTGGTTTTATGTAGCACTTTTCAGGACACTCAAAGACGCTTCACATGTCATTATTATTTCACTTCATACACAGTGGTGATGAACTACTACTGTAGCCACAGCTGCCCTGGGGAACACTTACAGAAGTGAGGCCTCTGTCCATGACATGATGAGCCAAGGATATTATATAACCTGAGGAGCTTGAGATAGCAGCAGTAAGATAAAGAAAGTAGGAGCACGCTTGCAATATTTGACTTGTTTATACATATATAATTGACCTTGCCCACAATGTGTATATGTCTGAAATATATTTTAGTGCCATCTAGCATTGAGATCAAATATGGTAATTTACGGTACCAAGGCAGCTTCGCAGGACAATATGAAGTCTTTGAAAGTGGTCCCCAACTCCTGGTCCAACTCCTGTTTGTCCCTTACAGTATCAACCACTGTATTTCAAGATGGCGCATTGACATGTAGTGTCCTCCAGTTCTCAGGTACATTTATACGTCAATTTCTAAGCCTACGACAACAATTCAAAAACATCGTGGAGGTATATATTCTTTAAAATGGTCACATTTGCATGATTTTTACTTTGGAGCAACTGTAAAAATTACACAGAGTACCTTTAAGCCCTCAATCGCAACAACAGGTGCCACTGACCTTTACAAAGTTATCTATTCTCCAACAACAGATCAGGTTTAATCATAGGAAATGCATTAACAACAAACCCATAGGAGCCATTGGTTGTAAGGGAGAGGGATGACCAATGTCCATAAATGTCCTGGATCACCACCTCCCTGAATTGGCAAGGAACAACGAAAAAACCCAGCAGGGCTAAAAGTGAGACAAATTTTGTGGGGGGGTCTATCCTAACCCAAAGCTGATTCACGGAATGCTTAAATGCTTTCCTTAGTGGCTGCACTTTCCTTTTTCCCATGTATTTCACTGTATTGACACTGTTTTTACTGCATTCTCTTGTACTAGATGTGAATGGTAGCTTATGGACATCCTCTTGTTGTTTTTATTAGTGCTTTATGAATAACATTGTATGGGGTTTTAGCGTGCATGCCGCTAAAAAACTCAAAAATCAATGACGTTTGCTTCTGGTCTGTCAAGAATCATGTCGCTAACAGTAAGTGAATGAGTGCCTTGCCCAAGAGCACGACATGGCTATAGTTTTAACAACATTACAGAGGCTGCTTATTGGTTTAGCCCTTCTTAGATTCACACCGGGGTTACTTCTTATACTCTGCAGAAGGCGCCGTGCCGCAGACTTGCTAGCAGCGCCGCGAGTGACGAGGCCGGGGATTAAGAGCTGTGACGGATTCATACGTGACCAGACTTACTGCCTCGCGGGAGTCTCTGTCACTATCAAAGCAGCTGGAAATGTGCCAGCGAGGAGGGAGAGAGGGATTCCGCACAAAGCCCCCTTTAAAAAAAAAAGAGGAAAGAAAGAAAGAAAATACTTAGTCGGAAATCTTCTGCCTTCCCCTCCCTCCTCCTTAAGACCTAGTGTGCAGCGAAGAGTCCAGAGTGTTTTAAGGAATTTTACCTGTGCCCATTTAAACTTACAGTAAAAATGTGCGGTTCTGGATTTTGATTGGCCATCTTTACAACAAACCTAGCCAAATATGATATTAGCGAGCAGCGAGAAAGAAAGTTAGCAGCGAGACATTGAAGGTACCTTTGTTACAGAAACAAGATTGTCTTTGGTCCAGAAACAAAGAGAGAGCGTCATCTGTCACCTACAGTCTCTCTCCCTAAAACCTTTAAACAAGGTCAGAAATCTAGGGGTAATACTGGACGTGAATTTTAATAGCCACATCAAATCAGTAACATCAGCAGCTTTTTACCATCTAAAAAACATTGCCAGGATCAAAAACATAGTGTCTAAAGCAGACTTGGAGATTCTTATCCATGCATTTGTCTCCAGTAGGTTAGACTACTGCAATGGCCTGCTCACAGGTCTGTCCAAACATGCTGTAAAACAGCTGCAGTACATTCAAAATGCAGCAGCTCGAGTCCTGACTAGAACCAGGAAGTACGACCGCATTAGTCCAGTTCTCAGGTCTCTGCACTGGCTTCCTGTGGCTCAGAGAATAGACTTTAAAACAGCTCTGCTTGTTACAAGTCTCTCCATGGCCTCGCACCAAAATATATTAGTGACATGTTAGTCCCATATGAACCAGCCCGGACTCTGAGGAGCACAGGGACTGGACTCCTGTTAGTGCCCAGAGTCAGAACTAAACATGGGGAGGCTGCTTTTCAGATTCATGCTGCTAAAATCTGGAACAGTCTTCCTGAAGATGTGAGACAGGCCTCCTCTTTGACAATGTTTAAACAGTTCTGTTTAACTGTGAAGACAACAGAAGGATTCTATAATGTTATCTTTCTTTTCCTTGCACTGTGATCATTTATGATTTTAATGTAATCTTGTTTTGTTCAACACTTTGAATTGTGCTATACAAATAAACTTGCCTTGTCTTGCCTTATTCTTGTCATTGGAAGACTTTGAGGCTGAAGAATAATGAAAAACGTCTAGAAAATACGTTCTATATTATAGGAAATTATTCTTATACAAATACTCATTCCACACAGCGTTGGTAAACCAAAACTTTTGCCACAAATGACCTGGGGCAGACTTTATGAATTTGGAAGAAGAAGAAAAAGTATTTTACAAACTCAAAAGAACGATCAAATTGACTACAGATAACACAAGTTACAAAGCGCCACATGGTTCGATCTGATTAGCAGGCAGAACGAGCCAAATTGGTCTGACAGGTTTGGAAACAACACTGAATAGTAAGTTTTTTTAAGCGTACACTGTTTTCTTCTGCTTTCTAAACAGTGATGTTTGATTTGAAACTGTTTGAAGTTTCTTCCACTTTCAAAGACACTGACATCCTTAGATATGGCAAGAGAAAAAATAGTGTGAGCCCTCCTCAAATCCCCTTAAAACACCCCAATCTCTCACACCTCTTTCCTGTCCCCTTAAGTCCTCCTCTGTGTGGAACTGTCGACGAACCAGGGGCCGGTTCTCTGCTGATTATGTGGCCGGGGTTGGTAATAGGCTATACTCTTGCTCACGTTTGTAAAGCCAACCCCGCTCGCTGGAGAGAACGAGCGTAGAATTAATCAGGCCTACTGGGAACACCCCTCTCCGCAGGCACACCACCAGGCACTCATTTAGCCGGCCGATCCCACTACCATTTAGTTTCTCTCTCTTTGAATGCACGTGAAAAAATGGAAATGGGTAACCGATTAGTCTAATGTCGCCCACTTTTCACAGACTGCCTGTTACAGGAGAATTTGCAAAAGATGGAAAATAAAAAGATGGCATGTGCCTGTCTTGTGTGATGTAATTGGGGGGTGGTTGGGGACCCCGGGGTCAAGTCTCTGTGGGGATGTTATATAAATTGGGAAGGAAATATTTTGTGTGACCAAATGAGGAGTGACTATGTAGTTTGCAGCTGTAAATTATATTTATTTATTATATATATATATATATACACATATATATATATATATATATATATATAAATATATATACACATATATATATACATACACTCCCAATGTCTTGCCCTGCCCCAATGTCTTAACCCCACTTTGCCTGAAGCCCCCACTGAAAGATCAAGGTTCATGCCAGAACCTATAATATATATATACATATATATATATACATATATATATATATATATATATATATATATATATATATATATATATATACAGTAAATGATATATATATAAGGGCTGGGACTCGATAAAAAAAAAAAATCTAATTAATTAGAGCCGTTGTGATTAATTAATCGCATTTTAATCGCATATAAATATTTGTCCTGAGAACAGTGAGAAGTATTTTTTCACATGGATTTTTAGGTTTACCATTGAATAATGACTGAATACATAAGCTTAAGCAACACATGTTCATTGTGGATGATCAAACGGACTTCTTTCCATCAAATAACGTTTCTATCATCGCCTCCACACTCTCTGTCCACAACAGACGCTTTGTATAACCAAAACCCACTGCACTTGCTGCTCCTCCTCCTCCTCCTCCTCCATCTCTGAGGAGTCGCTTGCTGCTCCTCCTCCTCCTCCTCCATCTCTGAGGACTCCTTCTCCTCCTCCTTCTCCTCCTCCTCCTCCTTCTCTGAGGAGTCGCTTGCTGCTCCTCCTCCTCCTTCTCTGAGGAGTCGCTTGCTGCTCCTCCTCCTCCTCCTCCTCCTTCTCTGAGGAGTCGCTTGCTGCTCCTCCTCCTCACACACCATAGCTCCATACACAGCGCTTTTTCCCGTCTCTAACCATGGATCTAATTCACTCAGATTTAGACACTGCTGGTCTATGCTTGTTATGATGTACTTTTGAACAAGAAAAGTCACGGAGTTCAGTTGGCGCACCAGTATAATCGGTCCGTCTGAAACTCATCCTCCAGTGAGGAAGGTTCCGTGGTGAAAAAAACACATGCGATTAAAATGCGTAAAAATTTTTAACGCACTAATTTTGTGGCGTTAATTAATCGTAATTAGTCCCGGTCCTAATATATATAAGTTCAAGCTGACCACCTGTTCCTTTGTTTGTTTCACAAAGAGGCAGTGATGATGGCTCCATGGCAGCTTCTACCGGGTTAATACTGTAAGAGAAAATATTCTAATAGATTTAAAAGGGCTTAAAGAACATCTATTATGCATTATTTTTGGCCTTTTGACACAATGATGATTAGATTTACTTTGGCACTTAATGGTTTAGGCTGTGGAAGAATTTCCTAATTTCTATCACCAGAGGGTGGTGCAGCGGTTTGCAATTGTGCTTCACAACAAGAAGGTCCTGACTTTGAACCCATCCACAGGACCTTTCTGTGTGGAGTTTGCATGTTCTCCCCCTGTCTGCTTAGGTTTCCTCCAGGTGCTCCAGTACAGTAGGTCTGGCATGAGCCTCCTGTGCTTCCACTGTGTGGAGTGAGAGACAAAGGCCCACAACAATTGTATAGCGCTTTGTGAAAGACGCTATACAACTAATGATTGCTTATCTACTTACTACAGGGATCTATTGGACTATTTTGAAGCAATAGTTTTGTTTCTTTGAAGAACATAAAATGTCTCTTAAAATTACCAAATAGTGTAAAGATTCTTTATTGTGCATCAGGTTTGAGATATGAGCATGGAGATAGATTAGGCGGAGGGACATTTTCTTGCCAGAAGTTGTTGATCTTAGCATGGATGGGGCTAAAAACAACTTCAGATCTGTGACTGATGAAGAACAATGTTGGTTGAAAGCTCAAAAAAAAAAAGGATTTTTCTTTAGATGTCCAGTTACGGACTAATTAACTAAAATATATACATTATCATTCAACTATTATGAAACACAATCTCTTCATTTCTTTTTGTACAAACCGTTTAACCTTTTCCTTTCCGTCTCCCATAACCAGCCTCATCACCGTGGGCCACTTCTTAACCTTAGCCTTGCGCGCTCTGAATGCGCCACTAGACGGTTAAGTCATAAACCGCCGGCAATCACTGCCACCCCCGCCAATTACCGCGGCAAACCATCCCTGGGGTCCGTCCGCGTCCTATCCCCGCTAAGCCTTGCGCTAAGTGACCTATTTTTGGTCTTGTGGACTTGCCGTAGAACACCTCCAAGGTTAAGATTACGCCCGTGATGAAAGGGGCACACGGGGGCCGCAAATGAACCGCTATGGGGGACATTCCAGTAGCTTCCTGCCCCGTCGTTCCGAACCGTACAGACATATATATATATATATATTTATACTCCCTCTTTCCCTCGACAAGGCAGGGAAATATTCATGAGTAAACAAAAGGAGTGATTTGAAATATGGCTGGAGGAAAAGTAGATTAATAAAAAGCATGAATAGTGCATTATGGAGAGGCGGGCTCATTGGGGTTATAGGGAGATTGCATTTGGGCTTTATTAAGAGGGCAAGCGCTCAGGAAAGAAGTCAAAACATGGGCAAATATCTGTGTTTGTGGATGCATAAGGGCACACAACCCCAATCACGAAGTTTATAACAATTGAATAAAGCTTTTTTCTCATTGATAGATTTTCAATACCATTAAACAGGATTCTTTATGTAGATATTTTTCCGTCTTGCTGCTGTCAGACTGTACAATGAACAATGAGGACTAACAAAACATTGCCAACCTGAACGGTCAGAAAAAAGGATCCTGCGCATTAAAGGTACATAGGAGGATTTTCTACTTCCATGTGGATCATCAAGACTATGGATATTACCAATTTCAATCATCCTCGTCAAATAAAACAATATTTTGTTCTTTGCCAAAATTTGGGAAAATACCAATAAGTAATCTATGTTCAATACTTGTCTACATAGAGAAGGATTTTTAGTTTTTCTTTTCTGATGCAGGACAGTCGTCTGATGATCCAGGACACTCAGCTTTCAACAACTTTTATGGACATCGGTCATCTGCCCCTTTTGTATAAATGCCTCTATATGTGTCTTTTATCATTGCATTTCTTGTGTTTTAACTGTTTGATTCTCTGATCTGTGTTGGCCAATCAGCAGTTACTGTAAGTCTTGCGAGCTAGTTGATAAAGCCTAAAACCACCACCTCCATCCATCATCCATTTTCTACCCGTTTAATCGCATGTTCTTGTCAGGGGTGACAGTCAGAGATCCACCCAAGTCTCCATAGCACCAGCCCCTCACTGACCTCTGCAGGTGGTGAGTCCACAGTAGGACGGCTGCAGCTCTGAGTGTGACAATAGGCCTTGATCCTTTCAGTGGGGCTTTGGCAAAGTGGGTCAAGTTCTTTCCCAAGACACAACGACAGCAGCATCATTGAGTCGTTGGAGAAGTGTCGAGTGTGGGAATTGAACCCCAACCTCAGACTGAAGGCCAATGCTCTACAAACGCAACTGAGCTACTGTCGCCCCCCAAGAACATTGAAAATCACGACGACTGTTGTGATTTAGGGCTGGAAAAAAGATATTGAATTGAATGGAATTGAGCATAAGGGTGCCTCATGTATTTGTTTTGGGCAGTTCTTTTTATGTTGTCCATCTATGGCTTAAGGCAATTATATCAAACATTTTACAAAATACTGTATACGTCTTCATGTTGATGCAATTCGGTGGAACTTCCCTGGCTACGTAATGCGCCTTCACCACAACTTGTCATAAAGCCCTCTAACCCTGCAGAGATTAATTCATTTCTCTTCCCGTCTCCATCGGTGACAGTTCCAAATGAGCTCTTAATAAAGCTGCTCCCGTGTTTACACCAACGTAACACATCCGTCCTTTTACAGGAGGACCCTAAATGCTGATGACCGGCGCTATTTTACAGTATTCCGCCATTAAATCACAGCACTGTCCTCGTTACCGTGACGATGTGTCAAACAAGCCCCTCCGCTAACGGCCTCTTATCTTAATTGGAGCGCTCTCAGAGGAGGGTCCGGCTCCGCGGCGAGGCGGTCACACTGTCTGCCGCTACTGCTGTGGCTCATTTTGTTGTCACAGTCAAAGTCAGAGACAGAGACGGAGACAGAGAGAGAGAAAAAAGGTAGAGCTGTAAAGGATTATTTAAATGACCAATCCAGAGCTTGGGTGACAGTTTTGATGAGGAGTATTTGTTGGGGAGGAAGTTGAAATGTATGCTTGTGATTGCTTGGATGACCTGGAAACTGGACAAACAAATAATAAGTAGCCTACATACAAGTTTAAGTGGACACATTTATCATTATGTAACAGTAGGCCAGTCTCCACCAGCCCTTTCTCTACTCTACTCTTCTTGACTTTCTCGGTTGGAAGCCAAGATCTTTGTGGTACCAGATACTGCGGAACGTAAGGAAAACACAACCAAGTAGAGTAGAGCCGGGTAGGGCTGGGTAAGGTTTGTGGAAATGGGGTTGCTGATTACAGTAACATGTTGAACAATACGTCAATGCACCTATTTCTGCCATTAAACCCATTTAGATCAATATATAAATACACAATTTACACAACCATTCAGAGAGGTCATTGTTTTCGCAATATTTTGGAGATTGTAATGCACAGTACATGCAAGGCGGTCCAGGAATTTACAGGAATTGGAGAAGAATACAGCGAATACAGCTTTACCGCCAGAGATGATGAAAAAAAAAATTGAATAAAGAAAAAACATCAATCCCCATCATTAAGAACTCAGCAGGGGAGCATATAACGTCACACAAAGGAATAAATGAAACCTTCGAAAATTACTACAGAAAACTGTATTCCTCTGACTCTGACCCAGATATAAACAATATCCACACATTTCTAAACAATATCAACCTACCCATTCTCTCAGCTAACCAGATATCAGGTTTAAACTCACCAATTACAGAATTTGATCTCTGCACAGCACTTAAAGCTATGCCCAACAATAAATCCCCTGGACCCGACGGCTTCCCTGCTGAGTTCTACAAACATTTTTGGCCCACACTCTCCCCGCTATTCATGCGTATGCTACAGGAATCAGAACAGATCAGTAAGCTGCCAACCCACATGAACTCTGCCACAATCTCCCTCATCCTCAAACCCAACAAAGACCCTACACTGCCCTCCAGTTACAGGCCCATCTCACTTATCAATGTCGATACAAAAATCATATCAAAAACCCTTGCCCTCCGAATAGAAAAAGTAATCCCAACGATCATTCATCCCTACCAAACTGGCTTCATTAAAGGACGACACTCATCAGACAATACTCGTAGGCTGTTCAATTTAATTCACTGGTCAACTCTACAACAGGAAAAAAACCATCATTGCATCCTTGGACGCAGAAAAGGCTTTCGACAGGGTCGACTGGACCTTCCTGTTTGCCACACTGGAGAGATTTGGCTTCGGGGGGTCGTTTGTCAACTGGATAAAAATGCTTTACACCTCACCTACTGCCACTGTCATCACCAACGGTAGAACTTCACATCCCTTCATTCTTCACCGCGGAAACTGCCAAGGATGTCCACTCTCTCCATCTTTATTTCTAATCTTCTTAGAACCACTTGCAGCAGCAATTCGCCAAAATAACCAAATCAAAGGATTCCAACCACAATCAATCGAACACAAAATCAGCCTGTATGCAGATGATATCCTCCTCTTTTTACAAAACCCACCTTCATCATTACACCACACAATAAACCTCATCGAATCATTTTCCAAACTCTCACAATATTCAATCAACTGGAATAAATCCTCAATTCTCCCCCTACAGTCAAACAGTTGGGATGTTGCAGCCATCACACCTCCTGTCCCACTCTCTTCAAACCACATCACTTAC